AAAGAAAGAAAGAAAGAAAGAAAGAAAGAAAGAAAGAAAGAAAGAAAGAAAGAAAGAAAAGAAAGGAAAAGAGAAACGAGAAAAGAAAAGATATAGTATTCACAAAAAAATCACTATAGTATTATCTGGGTTATTTATGCAGTTAAAACTTTCTCTCTGTGTGCATCTGTGTGTAGATACATGTGTCTGTGCATTAACAGGCACACCGGGAAAGCTGAGACTGTCCAGGTGCAAAATTTAATTCAGTTAAACTTGAATGCCTTAGAATGCACTGAGGATGTTACCTAGTTTGGGTAACATCCTCAGTGCATTCTGTAAGAAAACAACCAAGCTCAGAGAGGCCCCAAAATTCCCTCATTTCAACCCTGTGCTGCAAATATTTTCCTTTATTGATTCAGTATAGAACACAGGGTTTACTTGAGTCTGGAAAAACAATATGTGCTTATCTTAAAACTGTTACAGTGGATGTAGAAGTTTAAACATCTTTATAATGAAATTAGCTGAAGTATATCACTATAATAACAAAGTTTATTCAACTGCACCAAAGCTTTATGGGTGCCTGTACAAACCAAGTCAGGGAAGAAAATTGACAAGAGTTAGTGGGGTTCTGTTGTTGTAAATGTAACAGAATCTTCTTGAAAGCTTTCCCAATTTTTCCTCTGTCTTCTCATATACTACTCAGGATTACAGACTTTAAACTAGTTTCTATGCTTCCTACTTTCCCAGGGCTAAGATTTCTTATGTAGTCTCTTTTATCAGTTACTGTAATAGCTCTTGAATTCCTTCACCAATGTTAACTCTGACTCTCTCTACAGATTGCCACGCTTGAATTAAATAAAGAAGCAAAATAAATCACAACATTTATTTTACTTCAGAGATATTTTCCTAATGTACCTGGAATACATAATAGATATACCGGTATACTATCCATCACTGATTATTGGGGTTTACTTGGTTCTTTCATGTTATTCACAGAACAATGAAGAAGCTTATACTTAAAGAAATATGTATTTATTTAAATATAAATGACCACTGAATCTTATCAAGGACTGAAATATTGTTTAAATATGAAAAATCCAAACAATGTATGATATGTTTTTGCCTAAATCATAATTACATTCTACTGAGTGTGAATGCAATCTTTCAAAGTACATGGTTCATTGGCTATCCTTCATAAGTAAATTGCATGCCAAATAATTATTGGGAATCAAGTGAAGTTAGCATTAAAAATACTAAGTTTTCATAATCGTTTCACCATATTTAAGACAAATTAGCACCCAAATCATTCACACTGAAATAGCGAACCACAAATGTTCCCTAGTGTAAAGCATGAAAATGTATAAATTATAAAGTAATAAAATATTTCACATCAGAAAAACAAAAGAAAAAGAGCTATCATGAAATATACATACATACATACATACATACATACATACATACATACATACATACATACATACATACATACATAATCATATATTGGAAAGAAAGCAGTTAAATTTGTATCCTTCTGCAATCCTTCTCAGATTTGTTAGATTCAATTCTGCATTTGTCACAGAAGTAGTATGATTATTGTGTGTGTTTGTATACACAGACCATTACTTTATCCACCCACACACAAGTTTCAATAATTTTTTATGAGAGGAAGCCTATCTCTTATTTAGTATTTTTATGAGCACTTTAAATTGTAATTTTTCATTCCACCACCACACCTTTTCAAACAGACCTTATTATTATTATTCAAACATCAATTTCCTCTTCATGGGAAGATGGTAAAGTACAAAAATGCTGTGATCATTTGATTTATGTAGCAAAGCGTGTGTTACTGAATTTGTTCACAGTTGGCATTATGAGCAAAAAAACAAAAGAAAATAAATCAAGAGACTAGAAGTCTGCTGAGCCACTGATATCACTTTCATGGTAAATATATACATATACACACCATTCCAGATGGATCCCCTTTGAAGTTATGATGTATTCAGTGTATGGAATTTGGTTTTAATTTTCTTATGTATATAAGCATGTTTTGAAAATGGGTGAAGAGAGCTAAACAAGAGACCTCCTGCATATAAATGGCATTAAAAATAAAAGTGATGAGATAAAGTGGAATATAACTTAAGAGAATGCTGGATGGAATATTTTATAGATTTTGTGTGGGAATTATAAGAACATCAGTAATGCCATTGGACTGGACCTCAATCCTATTAAGTCCAGTAGTCTGTTTTTACAGCGGCCAACCAACTGCACAAGGAAGCCCAGTAGTCTATCAGTGGATGCTCTACTCAACTCAAATGAGATTTTATCCCCTTTCAAATAAATTTTAAATATTTACCTATATTTACTTTTTGGCTTCTATTAGGAAAAATAGCATGTATGAAGCAGCACCCAGGTATAGTACAAAATTCTACTGACAGAAAACAGCAATAAGTTTTATAGTGATTAATATTTTTCAAGGACAGCTTTTCTTAGCTTAGTGAGACTCTATGGTGAAAAGGAGTCTAACCTTGAGTGCTTCCATGCCTGCTTGAATCACAGGAGCAAAGACTGTCTCACTCTCATTTGTATCTCCAAACATCTCAGGAATCTGGTCCAGCAAGCTAGAGAAAGGAAGGGGGAAAAAAACAGGTTGTTCAAAAGACTGGACTAGACAGAAGAAATAATCATTCTCCAGCTCTGGTGCTCTTAAACTGCAACCCCCATAATAAAAATGCAGCTTGTCTGTTATGGGACTTATTTTCAATTAAAGTGTTTATGAAGGCCAGGAAATTATGAACATCCATTTTCCCCATTATCGGTTTTCAAAACTAGTGGATGGGGCTATTTTTTACAAATAGAATCCCTACGTAGATATTAATGTGAGAAAAATGTATAAATATTTGCTTACTTATTTATAACAGATTGTGATTCTTGGAAGTTGACAAGGAAGCCATCCAACAAAGGTACGAATACTTCACTGACGTCAGTGACTACCATCATTTGAGGTTGTGCAAGAGTACTTTTTACATTGAAGAAGTGAAGGATTTTATTGTAAGTGACAAATCCAACCCGAATTGTCGAAACGTCTTGCTCCTCTCTTGAAGAGAAATAGTTTTAGCAAATACAGTTGCAGGAAGTTTTTTACCTCTTTATTCATCTTACCCAAACACTTGGATTTTATCTGCACATATTAGATAGAAGACTACATCCACACATATTCATAGAATCTTTCAATGAATCAATTTCTAGATATACAGTATGAGGTAGAATCTGGGTCTGAGTTAGAAAGAATAAGTCAACTATGGAGAACACTGACTGTCTTTTAAAGCAAGCATTGGGTTACAGACACCCAATATTTTTTTCTAGGAGTAACTATATAAATCATGTACACTTCAAAAGTATTTTTAATTATTTTGTTTTAATTAAAACTACCTTTAAAAAACCAAGTTAGATTGGATAAGTAGCCTGGTGGATACCAAAGAGATAAACACTAATACCTCTAGGAACTATTCTGGATTGTTGTTATAAAAATCCCTTACTACCTTCTAAACAATGCTCCTACTGACAAAAAAAAAAAAAAAAAAAGGAGTAGAATCTCCTTAATTCAGACTCAAAACTCTAGTGGCTTAATGGGGAGTGCCATGCAGCTTTCTTGCTGATAATATGGAAATTATTTGCTTTTAGACCTGGACTTTACTGTTAGCTTCCAACCCAACTATATTCAGGTGGAACCCTGCTTTGATTTTGGAGTTTGGCAAAGGTGAACTTGATCCTATTAAGTTGGCTTAAGAAAGAGAGCGAGAAGGAGGGGGGCAAAATCTAAACAAATTACAAACATATGGCAGTTTTGGTCTTTTTTATTACATTAAATATCTTCTTGAAACTGAGGGTAGAGGATTGAAGATGACAACATGATGTGAATCATTATGCATCATTACAGAAATGAAAGCAGAAGGAAAGCAAACAACCCATCCATTGATCAAGACGGTTACCCCTTAGTTGTTTCTAAATTAAAAATATAACTAGTTTTGCTGAATGTTTATAATACTTTTTCTTACTTTGGAAGTCTGTTCAGTACAGTTTTTAGTTCTTCACAAATCAGTTTAACAAGACCACTTTTTATGTTATTGTAAGACACATCAATCATAAAAATATAGGCTGGTGGCTGAGGAGGCTTGTTGTTCTATGAAGAAGAAGGGGAAAAAACAACAGTAATATGACAAATTAGATTATTTTTCCAAGGTTCTCAAACCAACCATGAAATACTACAAATACTATACTACTACTAGTATACTACTACTATTACTATTACATACAGTATTTATTGCTAAATTAAGACTGAATCTCTTTTGGTATTAAGATTCATTTCAGTGAAAGTATTGCAAAATTGTAAAATCTTAGCATTATATATTGGGCTAATTTTCTATTAATAATCTATCTTTTGTTAATTATTCTGGCATGAAATTTATAATTATGCAGCTAGTGCATGAAAATATGATCTAACCACATAACACAATATAGTCATTTCAAACTGTACTGTGACATCATTAAAAGTCAGGCATATCCTTTGACTGCCAAGTGACTAATACAGAAGAAAAAAAAGTGGGAGATTTTCATCAAGATGATGGTGCAAAGTGAAAAGACATAAACACCGCTGTGTAACATGGGGATGCAGAATATGTGCTTACTTAAAAAGGGATGTAATTTTCACTGCATCCCTTTTGCACTTCTCTAATAACACCTTGTTTAAACTACAAGGCCCAAGAGACTGAAGGGTGAAAAATACATTTATAATAATCTTCTGTTCCTCCTCCTCCTCCATGTGGAATGTTCTCATATATTTATTCACTTTTATATGTTTTACAAGTGCATGTATATATGTTCCCTACATTCTGGAGTTGTGGAATGTTCTGATATTCCACAATTTTACTTCCCTCTGACAGCAGAATGATCAGGTATCATGAATTTAAGGTAGTAATAATATTAATCAATAATTGAAGTCAAACATAAAGTTAGAAAAGACTCCCTTATTTCCTCTTTCAAATAATGAGCCTGAACTCTCAGCAGGAGTAGAATGGTTTATGATAATGGTTTCTTATGTGCCATAAGAAACTCATAAAGCTCCTCTTTACATTCATAGGTTACTTGCTGAAAACAAACAACAATTCAATTAGGAATGGAACTCCAAGTAATTGCAACATAAGCCATTATGTTAACAATATTGACTGTTTCTTCTTCTTTCAGTTGTAGAAGAAACGATGTCAGCATATGCCTCAGAGAAATAAGGAACTGCAAATTTTATGAGGAGGCCTGAGTTTTTAAAAGCTTTTCTAATCAATCCCCAAATACTACCACAAAATGCATATCTGTATATTAAATTCTATCTAGATATTTATCATCGTGGTTAATATTTCTATATATTTATCATCAATAAACACAATAGAAAGTTCTCTTTTCCTCAGATATTGAGGTGGAGAATTCAAACATCTTCCTGCAAATTATACATGCTCTACACTAGTGAGAAAGTTTCAACATGAATGCCAGTTATAAAAGAAGCATGGACAGTTAGTCATTTAGCTTAATTATGAATATTTTACAAACTGGACAGAAAAAAACCCAATCCTCCAACACTTTATCCATGAGGATTATCTAGAAATTCATGCAAAGTCAAGAAGAACACGTAGACTGTAAAATTATAGTTGAAGAGGATTTAGAGGTCATCTGATCCACTCATTGCTCAGTGGAGGATTCATTACAGCATCTCTAAGAGAAAACTACCCAGACTTTGTTTGAAGACTTCTAGCAATTGATAACATTCCACTTCATGTGACAGCCAGTTCCACTGACTGACACTACTGTATTTCGGAATTTCCTGCTGATGTACCTTCCTTGTACCTTTAACCCATTGATTCAGGTGCTTGTCCTGATCTTGGCCCAGTTTCAGCTATCTAGGGCAACAGATAATGCTTATTCTCTCTTTCATGTGATGGGGATTTGAAAAGATTTGAAGATTGCTATTGTATCTCTCCTCAGTTTCTCTTTTATAGGTTAAACATATCCACATCCTTTAACTGTTCCTAATGGACTGGGCTGGTTTTAGACTAAGGCTAAGGACTGTAGGGACTGGCTCAGGATTATAAAACATGGGACAATGGGACAATGACATCCATTCTTCCAAACCATTCTAAAAAATCCAAATTTTCACATCAGTGGGAGGTGGCACCATCAAACGATATGGCTATTGCCCTATACTTTTGAATTGACCTTGTTTAATGGTCCCCCCTCCCCCGTAGAATCTTCACTATCTTAGTAGCTCTACTCTACACTTTCTCCAACTAGCCACAGTCCTTTTTAAACTGAGGTGCCCTGAACTGAAAACTGAGCAGAGCAGAACAATCAGTTACATTGATCTTGATTGTATGGTTCCTGTTTAGGGCACCCAACCTAGCATTTGGCTCTTAGCAGTCATATCACGCAGGTGGTTCATACTTTTTTACTCATGTGGTCAAAAAGGAGAACCAGACCCTTTACAGATGTGCTTTGAAACATCAGAGATTCCAAGTCATATCATTGGGGGAACTGATCTTACCAGGTTATCTGGTTGCAAGTATAGTGGCTATATTCAATAAAAATGGATAAACCTGGTTAGTTTTATGCCCAATTAATTGTATGAGACTTAGTGCATTCTGTGAAGTGAGACAATTTATAATAGTGTTCTGTGCAAATATAAAAAAATCAAAAGAACCAATTTGGCAATCATATTAAGCATGCAACATGACCAGATGAATTATACAACTGTAAAAACTAAATATGGATTTTTTTTTCCTCAAAAGAAATTTCTTAAGGAAAAAATTGGAAAATTTTATTGTATTAATATAATTTACCATGTATTTATTTGGATTATATTTCATATTGCTCTGGGTATAGATTTTAATTTTAAACATACAGATAAGGCTGTACTCTTTCTACAGATATAATCTGTAAATCTCTGATTTAGCACGTGTTACAATTTTTTCCACTTACCTTGCAATAATCTAAAGTAGCAACATACTCATATGATCCAAGTGATAGCTCTGGTCTTTCATAGTGATCTATTCTTCTACCAATGTGATCCAGATGTTGAAAATAAAATGGAGGAACTAAAAAAAGAGAGAGGATTATTTTCTCCTTTTGTTCAACAGAACCATTGTTCTGAAAGTGCTAATACCTGATATGCAATAGATTTTACATGAAAGGAACAGTGTTGAAAGGGATGGAACTCTTTGTATTGGTTTTGCTTTACAATTGTTGGCAAAGATGAAACCACTTGTAATAAAAGTTCACATTTCCAACCAAATACATCCACCTTAAAAAGACTTATTTTACTTGTCTCATCTCTATTCTTTCTGCCAATCTAATTCAGACACATCTTTCAGTTTTATGATTTAAGAGAGTTTCAGTCTGTCAATATGCTGACTGGCAGTGAGGTACACATCACACAAGTAAACCTTTACCTTTGATGTTACTTTTCTTCATATTGTTTTCCTTCTGACCACTTACATGAAGTTTCTTACTGGTTACGCCAGCATTTGCATGTTACACACTTGCAATAGCCATTGCAGAGCTTTCAATATGGTAAGTGCATTTCCTTTAGTGTATGCTAAAATGCAAAGGGAGGGAAGGAAAAAAAGAGGGCTTGGATTGCCTTTAAAAGTATTGGAAAAGGACTGATCCTGCACCTCAAAAGAACCCAAGAGATTTTTGTTCTCTGTAGGAAAAGTAAAGAGGGTCTGCCTCTACATTTTTGCTTATCTGGTACAATTAAGAGTTTAAAGATTTGAAAAGAAAAAGGGCTTTCCTTAGATCTGTCCTTGAGGAAAAGCAGCTTGCTGGCAGTAGACAGCAATTGAAAAAAAAATCACCAGCCAAGATACAAAAAATATACTGGAACAATATATCTTACACTGTATTATTTCATATGTGTAAATAACATAGATAAATAATGGCTGTGAAAACAACTGTTCTCTGTAGAAACATCTGACCTCTTCCGACATTCAAACAATACACATTAGTGCACAATATATCTTTGTGTTATGAACCCAACAAACACTTTGCACATGCAAAGTTTCAGTTCTAACTCAGAACCACACTTTAGGCTACAAAAACAAATATATCATCTGTATCTCACTTCTTAGCAGCTGAGTGGGAGGCTACTGTGAACCTGGAACTAAGATCTCTATTATTTTACTTTGGCCATCAATTTCTCCACAAGACTGGACATTGTTCTCCTGCTTATGATGAAAATCAGAGTGCAAAAAAATAGCACAATAAAAAGAATATTGCAGGCATGCAAGCGACTGTTTGTAAATGGCAATATCAATCTAAATGTTTGATAGCTCATTGCTACATTTGTGAGAACTTTCTGCTGAATAAACAGTCCCAGCAGCCAACTGCCTTCTCTTTCTTTCCACAGATTAAGCTTTGAGGCAAATAAGAGTTGGCATAAGTCTTTTAAGGTTCATGTTTCACAGCTGAAAAGATTACTGTATTAGGGAAAGCTCTGTGACACTTTGATCCAGCTGAGGAAATCCAACTAGATGCAAGCCTCTTGAAAAAGGCATTCTGGCAAAGCTTTGGGACTCAGCCAGAAGTTCAGGAACTTGTATTTATGAGTCACATGCAATTGTACTTGGACAAATATGGCATGGCATCTACTGTTCAAAGCAACTCCAAGCCTAGTAAAATTAATGGATATTTTAACCATGGTAGTACTCTGACATAAAGTGAGGCAAAGTCCTTAATATTTATTCTTTTCTAAGAGGTTCAAAATGTATTTAAATCTATATAGAAAACAGTTTGATTTAATTATAATATCTTTCCTTTCCTGCTTGCCTATTTTACACAGTATAAAATTCACAGCTATTATTTACGGATGTGGTCTTACAGAAAAAATCAAGTACTTTTCTAAAAAAAGATTAACTGTTCTTACTGTTCATCTTTGTTGAGCATACCCAGTATGTGTATCTATACATCTTAGGGGAAGCCTTACTACAAAGATTTCTAGCTTTGGTTGTAGATAGGCTGTTTTGTGTTATGTCTTTTCAATATGAAATATTTCCACATAATTCCTAAAGCAAAGGCTGAGCGACTCTATTGCACATTTTCAATTGCCAGGATAATCCGAGGCTTTGAGAACTCTACTTTCAATCAGGCAATGATGAAGGAGCATGCTGGAATCTTTTCAATAGACAAATTCAAAATTTCAGTTCATATGAAATAAAATGTTTAAGCAAAATACCAATTCTACCTGGTAGGATGCAGACTCTTACTTCAGGATTGCAATTTTATACCTACATGTCTTGTGGTAATGCACAAAAAATACACATTTGGAAAATCAGGCATAAAATTTGACTGTAATGTGTATTTTCATATTAGAATAGAAATAAAAAGATGCTGAGAAGAGAATAGGGCAGAGACTGAAGAAAGCTCAGCAGAGTTTTCCAATGGCTCTTACATGAGTAGACGATTAGCATGAATCGTCATTTCCTTTGGTCTTTTAAAAGTAATTATTCCTTCATTCTCTGGAACTCAATTTCATTGAGGGCACATCATGGTTGTGGTTGACCTTGGGGGCTGGGCAGTCGTGGCTGACTGGGGGGCATGGCCAGCTTGACACCACTCCCCAAACTGCTGGCATGTTTCCTCTTTGCATTGGGTAGACCGGGCCAAAGCAATGCAAGTAAACTGGGCCAAAGCGATGTGGGTAGACAGGGCCAAAGCGACGCAGGACGGCTCCTTACACTTTCCAGGATGACCCTGCAGGTCGGATCCGACCACATTGTGGCCCGGATCTGGCCTGTGAGCCTTGAGTTTGACACCCCTGATTTGGAACCACTGAGTTGGAAAGGGCCTATTATGTCATCATGTCCAACATGTACTCAGTTCATGAATCCAAATTAAGAATCCCTGAAATATATTGTCTAGCCTATATTTGAACAAATAATGAATGCAAATCAATTTTTTGGTCTGGGGTGCTCCATTTTAACAATTGCAAAACTCAGAACTAGTCATAATTTGCAAGAACTGAGATATACACATTCATCTACATTAGATGAAATTTATACATAAGTGACACATTTTTTAAGAAACAGTATTTCCAGTTGGAATAAAGTGAAAGAAAAATGTTCTAGGTATCTTTTTTTAAATTAACTATTTTAAAATTTCTTTGGAGAATGAGTTTTCTATCATTTCAAAAACAACCAGAAAACCAATGTTACTTACCATCATTCACACAGTTACAAAATCCACACTGATATTTTCTTCCTCCCTCAATGAACTGCATGAAAGGACACATGTAAGCTTTGCATCGATTGCATCGAATTGGTCCATTTTCCCCATGGTTTACCAAATAAAGTGGAGTCTGCAGAGATTTTTAAAAAAATGGTGATGCAACTTGAATAGGTCAGTGTCCCAACTATAGATAGTTACACCTGAAGGATCACTGGTTTCATGTTGATATGAGGGAGCTTTTAAACTGCCAGTTTTCTTACTGAATTTGAATCCTGTGGGCTTTCCTCATAGTACTTTTAATATTTTGTAATTTACCATACTGTTCTTGTTGATTAATTGAATCAATATGAAATATAAGTGCATCCATCAATATTTCACAATGCAAAAAAAAAGCTTTTAAAAATTACATTATCCTTAACTAACACAAACTAGTTCACTAATCATATATCACTCAAGCTTTTCTTATGGGAGAGTTCAGTACAAATCTTTCCCACTAAAATGAATGTGATTTGAAAGTACTTAATTTTGGGGTGAATCACTGTAAACAAAAATTAGAGCAACTAATTGTATATAATTGCATAGTATAACATAGTGACAACATTCATTTGGAAATAATTGCCAAAGTAATGACAAGGTTTCAACTAAGAATGTGCAATGCACTTATGAATATATAAATAGCAATAGCCATTGCACTTACATTTATATACCACTTGATAGAGTTTTACAGCACTTTCTGAGAAGTTGACAAATCTCAGCATATTGCCATCACAAATTTGGATCTTTTTACGATCTTGGAAGGATGGAAAGCTGAGTCAACCTTGTACCAGTCAGGACTGAACTCCTGGCAATGGGTAGAGTTAACCTGCAATACTGCATTCTAACCACTGTATCACAGTGGCTCCTGATTTTTTTATCAGAACTTTAGTACATTACATGCACAAAGAACACTAAAAAATTTACTTCAATAGATTAGAGAAAGCCAAGGGATGGAGTATTAAAATTCTTTCTCCCCCCCCCCCCCCGCTCATTTAGACTGTTAATCACTAGACATACAGCACATTTCTGTATGAAGGGGAAGTGTCTCTTTCTCACATGCCAGTGTAAGAATAAGGGTACCAACTGAGGTGACCACAACAGATAACTGACGCAGCAGCAACTACAAGTTATTATCTCAAAGCAGGAGATATAAAGTTGATTTTTAAATTGGTTTGAATAGTCAATTTTGAACATTTTCCACTTCAAAATCTATAGCAATTAACAAAAGAGATAAACATGCACAATTCCTTCTACTGAAACTCACAGGGTAAGGAATAAAGTCTTCTAAACTCAGCAAGAATTATTTTGAATAAAAATACATGAAACTGGACTGTTTGAGCTGGATTGTGTCCAATAAGCCAGTAGTTTGGTCAAAGAATGTTAAATGGTGTTGTCATTAACACAATTATTTATTTGCTTTGGTTTATGAACATTATATTATTGAATCTACCTTTTCTTTCAATGAAATTGTTTTGCATTGAAACATGGCTATGTTAAGAAAAATAATCTGTGAGCAATTTATCTTTCATGAATTATTTCTTCAAATCAGCAAAGAAATACTCATAAAAGTCATTGGTTAAGGTTAACAGGCTGCAGATATATTAATCTGCTTGCCTGTGTCTAATATGCCACTACAGACAGATTGAATAAAATCAAAACAAAATAGATTTTTCTAATGATTTCTTATTAGAAGTGGAAAAGATATCTTTATACTTACTCTGATGTCAAGTTAGCAACATAACATTTTGGTTTTACCAAATGAATGTTTTTAAGAATGGTATTGCCTTTTTAATTGTCAGCAGTACCGAATTTAAATACAGCTATTGCAAAGAAATATTATAATTGAAATATAATTAAAACTAATATTTTTTTTGCGGGGAGGGGGGACATCAGAACTACTTCATCAATGATTTTATTTACTTTATATATACAAATTAACCTGAAGACCAAACATTACAGAAATCATCTATTTCTCCCAAGAACAATACATTTCAAAGGAAATGCATTCTGTTGCATACTGCTTCCTCTGGAAAACTCCTATTCATATCAAATCCACATTCTTCAAAAAATTACTAAAAAATTCTTGTTGCCTGAAATGTCATTCCTTTCTAAAAAAAATTCCAATGCCTCTATAGTTTTAAATTAGCACTGTTTACTATAATTTTTCCAACAATTTCACTTATTTATATTTATGGCAATTCATTTTCTAAACATGCTTGCTAATTCATTTCAAAGTGAAAACAACACAGAGATTGGCAGGTTTTTTTATGCCTGATCTAACATTAGATTATATGCACTAATTTTATTATTTTTAAATGCAATATTTTATTCAATTTATTTAAAATAAAACTGAGAAGGTCATATAAGTATGATTTCATCTATAATTGCCTACAATAAGAAAAGGCAATGAGTCAGCTAAGCAAAACCTTCTTTGTGCTCCATGCTATCTGTAGAGGTCACTGTGCCCCAAAGAGATAAAACACTCATAATAAGCAACAGATTTGTGCTGACTGCAGTACCAGAACAATCGCCCTAAATGCTAAAATACAAATCCAATGAGGCTGAGAAAGACCAAATAAATGTTATTCATTTGCCTTACAAGAAAATAATGTGCTAATGTTAATAACTGAAAAACACATTCAGTATTAACATTAATTAATTCAAATTTGTTCCTAATGAAGTCCAAAAGTAATAATAAAGCAACTGTCAATATGATATATAAAGTTGCTATCCCAGATTTTCCATTGCCCATTTTGTGATTTCTCTAGACTGTTGTTAGAGACAAAGTGTGGGTGATGATGTTGTTTCATGAAGTTATTTAGTGTATTGTTTAAAATGTTGACATGTTAATTAGAATGATCTAGTGGAAGCAAATATTTTGTTAACTCTGGGGCAAATAAGTAGTGTTTGACTCTTGGCAGACCAAGATCTGAGTTGATTTTAGATGCATTATTTATCAAATATTCTTTTGATAGAGTTATGTTACCAGTTTATGGGAATTTAAGATCTCTTCTGTGGCTTTGTACCAGTTGAATAAAGAGAATAAGTATTTTATTAGTGTGATACCGTATATATTATGCAAATCCAATGAAATTTGTGAAAATTGTATCAGGAACCAGGTGCTGTATGTTGCACAATACAATATATGTGGGATATATAAAATATATATAATATATGCGGTATATATCTATGTGTGTGTCTGTCTTTGTATGTATTAAACACTGTTAAATAAATTTCCGTTCTCTGCTTTTGTATCATTCAACAGGTAACAAGGTACAAACCAGGGAAGTCAATACATTTGCAGTTGTCAAGGAGTGCAATATTTACCGACATATCATAAAATCAGAAAGGTAGAAAAAACAGGTTCTCCTAAGCCAAACCAATCAAGACATTAGCCATTAACTAAAATGAAAATTTTATACATTCCATTACCAGTTAACACTATTTTGACTATAGTTACCTGTTATTAATTGCTACAAATTAATGCTAGAGGAACAAAATACACCTGTGAATGTGAATGTATTGATAGTCACTTTCAGCAGTGGTTCGTTTGTAGTACTCTACCTAAATAGGTAACCCATCCAAAATCGTCAAGGGGGATGCATAGCATAGAAGAAAGAAAGAAAGAAAGAAAGAAAGAAAGAAAGAAAGATAGATAGATAGATAGATAGATAGATAGATAGATAGATAGATAGATAGATAGATATGATGCCATTATTTTTAAAAAGATTTTCACAGTAAAATATCCAAATTCTGAATTCAGCAAGTTTTACATAATAGAGCCAAATAATAGACTTAAGTATTTAATGGCTGCTTTATCTTGTGACAAAGTAAGGAATGTACTTGGTTCTAGTCAATAGCAATTACAAGGCTGGTCTTTATTGGTAGATCGCTAATGCACAGTATATTACATGACCAAGAATTATATTAAGTTACCAAAATTTGTGGAATGAAACAGATACCAAAGCATAACCACAACTAACTTTAATCTAAACTTAAAAATAAAAACCCAGCATTGTACCTGCATGGATTATCTGGCTTCTGAAATTCTGAAAGACTACATTGCTCACTTTAATCTTTTCTTTCCTCTCCACAAATCATGATGACCAAAGAATTCTACAAATTGCCTGTAGCACATTTACCTTGTAGGGAAGATGGGCACATAGACATTTAATAAATAAACAATAAAGTTTGTTTTCAACAATTATCCTGACATCCTATAGGGATTCATTAATTTCAAGAGTACTAGTTCTAGTTCCAGTCTCCTTCCGCCAAAGTATGACATATTCAGAGTCCCACCCATTCTAATAACCGTAGTAACCAAGCAGGGTGTGCTCATATTAGAATACCAATGACATTCTTTACTTTGAAAGTGTTGTTATATGGAAGTTGGGTGGTGCTGTTTATCAAGGGAAGGTCAGCAGTCAGGATTAACCAATGATAAAAACACAAATATCAAATCAGAACACAGCATGGTAATCAAAATACTCTACTTGACAATGGATCTGCAAAATGTCGGGGACCAGAAGCAATCAGAACAAAGGAACTGGAAAGAAAAAATTAACAAACTAATATGCAAAACATATGGTAAACTGCCATAATATCAGAGAAGCAGTTTTAACTTTGTTGTCAGAAGGTCATGAAAATAATTGACTGCAAAGTGCTTTTTTCATGCTTGTCTTCTGCCTTTCATAGCTTCCACTTAGCACTGAACTGACATTTAGATTACTGACATTTAGAAGACCATACATAGAAATAGTATCTGATGTATCTGGTCATCGCTTCTTTTATAACGGTTTTTGTGAGTCCTGGAAAATAAGTATTTAGTTTCTGCTGAATGCACCATATTGGCTAATTTCCAAGAATGAAAGAGGAGAAAAGGGAAACTTTTCTGTGCTTCATTGATCTATTCTAGAAATCATTCTAGTGTTATTTTTAGACTACAAAGCTTTAAAATTCTACAATCATATTCTCCTTTGTTCCTTGTTAGTGAAAAGAAGACAGTAATATGATTTATGGAAGATGATTAAGATTTATCCAAGTCAAACTGGCAAGTTAACTAAAAAGTGATGGAAAACCTGTGATTTACTGCCA